TTGTTCTGATGAATTGTTATGTATTGTAATTACCAGAACTCATGCAGGGCACTGATCATATGCTCTTCCAATCCAATAAGTTGTAATGTTGTTTTGATATATAAAGATAGTACAGAATATGATTGGTGTTTTGTGTGTTGTAAATTGTTTGATGAGGTAAGCTAGTTGTGGTTTTTGTGTTGAAATTTATGAACGAGAACTGATAACTAGTTAAAAGATTATGTGAAATCTTGTACTAGTTACTATTAGTAGAAAACAAAAAAAACTCTAAAAAAATAAAATGCTGTCTCTTGAAAGTGTGGTTGTTTTTGAATTAGAAATAAGAAATGTATTTGTTTTGTAGCATTTGTATATAGAGATAGCCTTCACATAGAAAATTTTCTTTTTATTCGTCTTTTCTGTTCCAAGTTATTGCCCAGTGCCATTACTAATTACTAGACCTCTTAGTGCAGGCTCTATTGATGGAAACCCCAGGGGCCAATCTTATCCTTAAAACCCCCACTGCTTTAAATCTATCCTTCAGTCTATGTCCCCTCCCAAAAGACATATTCCACTAGACAAAATTCTTTGAAAGAAAGAAGCTTTCTAAAAAGGCAATTTTTTACAGATGGAGGTGTTGTAGGAAAGAGTTTTTTTTTTTAAGTAGCAAGTATTGCTATTAAATATTATTTTAATATTTGTTTAACAAACCAAGCTTATATAAAATAAACTACTATCTTGTACTAATTGTTGATTAATTGATGCAACTATAGTAAGAAATAATATTAAAATTGACTGCTAAAAATAAGGAAAAAAAAATAATTCAAGTGGCTTTAATTTTAGTTTCATGTAATATTCCAGCAGTATGCAAAATATATAGACATATTTTAGTACTAGTATTTTATTACTGATGTAAAAAAAAAGCTAACTATATGAATAATCAACATAAATTTAATGGCATAAAAAATATGAATGAATAATTTTTTTTATCATAACACATATATAAAATGTTACTGAATAAAGAAATTGTAATACAAATATAACATGAAAGTGTTTTGTCAATAAAAATCTAACTAGACAGTTTGAGTTTCTTTGCTTACTCTATTTTAATTTTATTTGATATTTGATTATTAATTTAATATACTGTCTTTTTTTAGATATTGTTAAATGGCTTTTTAAACAAATATAGATTGAAAAAGGAATATTAATGAATAATATATTAGATAAAATACAAGCAATAATAAAAACTTTTTAAGTACTATCTGGTATTGGCCAAATCCCAAGAAAAAAAACTATAGAAAAAGCTTTTTAAACTTTACTGCCAATTAATAGAGAAATTTTTTTATAACATATGCTATTATTGTTTTATAGACACACGAACTCTTCCCACTGATCTCTTGACCAACATTTTAAAACAGCGTTCAAACTAAAACATATCTTTATTCTTAACAAAATCTATACACTCTCTTTAATACAACTTGACAGATCTTGGCAAGATACTCTTATACCCTTCACTGTTTTATTTATCTCTTGTTGGCAGGGAAATAATATGAGGCATGGTCACATAACGCGATCTGGGGCATCACGTGTCCCGATTATTGATAATCAAAGACCAATAGTCTATAGTAGCACATAAAATTATGGTGTAATTGAGAAAGCTTAATTAGCCATTGTCACATTGATTATTAATTACGATAGTTTATGATAGCTTAGAAAAGTAAAATGACACAATGATAGGAAAAAGAGACACGACACTCTAATATAAATAGAGGTGGCTCTTATGTAAAAAGAGAAAGGGAACTACGAACCAGTTAATAAATAAAACCATTCTTTAAAATAAAATCTTCCTAATTAAGACGTGCGATTGTCGTTGCTGAACACGAATAACCCCCTAATTAACTTACCTAATCCAGTACTCGTTGCGAAGTGAGAGGGATGACCGGGACCACGAAAGGGAAAAGTGGAGAGTTTGTCCAATAAGCGCGACAACGAAACAAGAAGGAAAAGTTGTATTAGTAAAGAGAGTCCGGTCACGCCAAACCACATGCCTCAAGTAGAGAAGGAACCTAAAAAGACTTACCTGACACCATCGTTACACGAGTTCTGACCCAAAATTAGCGACAGACTCGCCGAGAGAGACGTCAACACTCTTCAAAAAAGTAAAAACAAGAAGGTCCTTTAGTTTTTACACACTCAAGCTTTGATGACAAAAAAGAGTTTCCCAAGGAAGAAGACAGTTTATTTGACTTCCCTTCTTCTTTTCACCACTATTATATCAGTATCTCTATCAGAAAGAACAACCCCAAAAGCTAAAAGGTTGTTGGATATCTTGGTCTCCAGAAACCTCCACAACATGAATACAGCTATCTTCCTAATGTGTTTTCAAAATTCTTTAGTTTTTCTAAAGAAATTTGCCTACCTTAGTTTGACCCTGAATTTTTGGTTACACTGGATCTGCTGGGTTTCCATTGGCTGAAAATTTGGATTGGACAACAATAAACAAGTAACAGATAAACAAAACAAAAAATAAATTATTTATTTTACTATTAAAATATTAACTTTTGACAAAATAAGGTTTAAAAAAAAGTATACTATTTATATACCAAATAAATTATAAGCTGCTTTATAGCTAAAGATAAAAGTTATATAAATTTGATTAATTAGTCAAATTATATACTTTTTTGACAAATAATTGAAAAGTGACATGATATTAAATAAATCAATTTTAACTAATATATCTTGATATTATATAAGTTTGATCTAATACTAGTAACAAATTTGTCAATTTAATATTAATAATATATAAAAAAATATTTTTTAATTTAATAAAGTTTTAACTTTTATTGTTATTTAAAATTAAATATTAAATTTTATTGTTTTTTTAAAGTTACCAATAATTTTTTAAGATTTTAATAATTTTTTTTTTCCATTGCAAACAAGCATTAAATGTAAAACATTATTAAATATAAGTTTATTGTTATTGCATTAAAAATTCTATACCACTTCATTTGATGGAAGTTAATCCTAATATATTGTATAAAAAACCTCTAATTTGTAAGAATACCAAGTAGATAATAACAAACTATTGATAGTTTATAAATGATTAATGTTTATTTATAAACAGCTAAGTTAAGAAGGATGTTAATAAAAATTTTTATAATTGGATTTTGGATATACTGTTTGAATTTGTGAAACTATAATAGTAGCTGTTTTTTTGAAAATAATTGATTGGGTTTCGAATTTGTTGCTTGAACTTGTGAAACTATATGAAAACTGCTTAAGAGCTAAATAAAACATATAAAAAGCCTAATATTTTTATATAACTGTAATATTAATATTGTTAGGATAATTAGAAAAACTATTGTGATGTTTTTGTTTAGTAATATTATTGTTATTGTTATAAGCAGGTTTAAGCCAATTTGATTATCATGAGATATGACTGTTGAGTTTTGGTTGGTTGTTGAATTTATGTTAATTATTTGAAGGGATAGAACTAGTTTTAATTTTTGATATAATGAAAAATTTTATAGAATTTTGAGTAGTAAAGTATTGTATATTATAAAAATAATTAAAAAGGTTTGGTTGAAACAAGCAAAAGATCCAGTAACTTTGCTTGAATTTAACTTTAAAAATAGATTAATAATATTGAGGATTAATATGAAAATAATTATCATGGTTATTGATAAGAGAAAGATATATAAAGACAAAGTTATAAAGAAGAACTGTCACAAGCCTTTCCCCATGCAATCAAAAAGCAAGCAAGACTCTCAAACTTGCTTGACCTTTGACTAGAGATTCCATTCCAATGCAACAGTGGTCCTTAAAGTTCTTATGTTCTTGTGCTTATAGCATATTTGATATATTGAAAAGAGAGAGGAAAGTGCTTCTTTCAAGAAAATTACTATAAAAAAAATTTTCAAGAAATCAGTAGTAAACAGGTGAAAGTTTTTTTTTTTTTTTAAGATTTTAATAATTATAAATTAAAAAATATATATTAAATATTATTATTTTTAAATTTTTAAAGAACCTATTTATAATAAACAAAAGAATACAATATAACAAAAGAATACAAAAAACTTTTATTATTTGGTTTCAATAATTTTGTATTTTAATACAACAAATTATAACACTTTAAAAAAAGTTTATTATATTTTATATATAGTATATTACACTAGATAAAATATTAATATGGAGACATAATAAGTCAGATATAAAAAAATTATTGAAATATTTTTCAATAATAAAATTTGAAAGCATAACAAAAAAACAATTAACAAATTTTGAAAAAATTATTCATAAAGCATTTTACAAATTTTTAGAAATTTTTTTCAAACCATTAATTTTATTGCAAGATAATCTGAACCTTTCAATTAGAAAAAACAATTATTGATTTATTTTAAACTCTTCATAATAATATCAGATTAGCCAGATGCATTAACTTTTTATTTAACATATAAATTAATGACTCTAATTATCATGATTACAGATATTTTTTTTGAAAAATATATCAATATTTTTTAGAATTTTAAATGATGCATTGATCAGAATTATAATTGGTTAATTCGAAATTAATAAAGAATTTAAAAAATATATAAGATATATCTTGTGAATTATATTATTTATTTCTATTAGTATAAAAAATATCAAAACAATAAATTTTGATTTACAGTATTTTGATATAAAATAAGAAATTTTGATCTTTTAAACGACTAATTTCTATTTTAAATACCATCTTATACAGTATTTATAATTTTCTTTTTTCAAATTTCATAAAATTTGTAAGATCTAATAAGGATGCTGCATCTCAAATACAGTATAATGGCAATTTAAACTCTGACCGCAACACGCCGAAAATGTATTAATTTTAAAGAAACTAGTGATTCAATAGTTATAAAAAAATTTATTTACAATATGTACACGAAATTAGTTTTTTGATGAATAAATATAAATAAAATACTCTAAATGGATAGATATTAAATTAAAAGCAAAGCCTTTATCGAAAATTCCTCGACCTTGAACCCTCAAATGATATCCCTAATAAAATCATGCAAACTCACTTTCATCTGTCGTTCCTTCAGATAATTTTGGATTACGTTCACATGCACATCCGGAATCCGTCTTCTCCATCCACTTATAAAAAAACTTTTCAAATCTGACTTATAACTCTTTAGGAATCCATCCAACGTGTCAAATATTACCCAATTCAAATCCAGACTTATATGCTTCATACTTGGAGGTAGCAATTCACCCAGTTGCGGCAAGAAGTCCTTGAACTTCCTCTCGTGTCCGTACGGTCCAGAGAGCTTTAGGGATACGAGATTTTTGTTTTGGGCCAGAAGCGAAGCCAATTGACGTGTTTGCTCATTTTTAAAGGGAACTGCGATGTGAGTTAAGAGATGTGACGTACAATATGTTGCCACTGATTCCAAAATGTATGGAGTGGATCTACTGGTAACTTCATCTGTATAGTGAATATCACGCAGAGAATGATGATTCGCTTTCAGCATTTGGATGAAGGTGGTGGAGAGATTACAAGATAGCCGTCGAAAATGGAGTTTACGTAGTTGAAAGAACCTGCTGGTGGTCAATGGAAACAGGATTGATTCTCGGGAGAAGTAGCAATCGGATATTATTAGAGATTCGAGATTGGTGCAGGCGGATAACGACCTGAATGCATTAACGCTTTCGTGATCTTCACTATTATCCAGACTGTAGTCGTTGTTTCCGCCGCCTTCGTGAGAGTCATAAAACTTGCAATAAATCAATTCAAAGTATACCAGTGTCTTTGCTTGACTTTTTAATCCTGTTATTGGTTTCACGACACTCTCGCCATACCCAAATATCTTACAATGCTGTAATCCCACTTGAGATTTGATCAACTCTCTCGCGGAATCATGTCTTTTTCCTGGAAGATTGCTAAAAGTGTAGTCTATAAGTTCAAGCCTTTTTAGGTTCTTGCAGTATCTGCCAATGTCAGCGAAGAGATCACGGGAGGATATGTTGGATATGGTAAGGTCTCGAAGGTTTGAGAGGAATTTGGAGGCGTCGGAATGGTAGAAAAAGTATGGATAGGACCTGAATTTTGCAGAGAAGGAGAAATCAAGGGACAAAGAGTGGATAAATTGACAGCGGGTTATGAAGAGACGGCACAATGCGCGGCAGATCAGATTTTGTCCGTTCGCTATTTGAGATCTGTAAAATGTTACGAGGTTAATTGTGTAAACATAAATGTGACAGACATGATCAGCAATGAGAACCTTCTAATTTACTTATTCGTGGTGTCCTGAGTCCTTTCAATCCAGGCACCGGCAGCCGTATACAGTCCCTGCATGCTAATCTCATCCAAAAAGTCGGCATATTGAAACATTGTCTTCCAAGATTTGCATTCCCCTAAATATATTCCACCGTATTCTAAATTAAGTTTTTCGTGTTTGTTCAAGCACTTCAAAAAAGTATCCACTATTTGTGACGAACATCTTGAAGAGCGAAAAGGTTTGCACCAAAAGACAGAAACTGCAATGTAGCACCACAACTTGGAGACCTGTAAGCATGCGTTGAGGGTGCGAAGGTCATATTGGATGTAATGGAATATTTCATGAAGACATTCGATGGGTAACGACGGAGTAATGCTTTCACCTAAGTCTTTCAAACCATCATGACTACTATCTTTATGTGTATCACTATTTCGTTCACTAGCTTTACGATTCTTCTTACTAAACTTTAGAAACTTTTTCCTAATTCTTTGACAAATCTTGTCTCTTCTGTCGTCTCCTCGAGACACAACTTTTCTCTTGATGTCATCATCTTTTTGATTCTTTCCGCTATTTTTATGTATTCTCTCATTATTCACATCACGTGCTTCTGCTTCTTCATCGATCACCCATCTCGTAATCTTCTTGGTAAACTTCTTAATCATCGCTAGGTATGTCAGTGACAGTAGCAATTCCTGGACAAATGACTAGGAAAATGGGTTATTAAGTAAAAAAATGGCAATTGGATATTTGTTTTTCCAATGTTTCACGAGGAAAATTCGGCGGTATCGTGTCGTCCGGCTTTAAACATTGTTTTTAAGATTATATATTGTTACATTACATTTTTAACGAGTGGAGTGAGAATTCCTGACCTTAAAGTCTCGAAATGTAATACCCTTTCCTTATGTAGGGTCTATTTGATCTACTTTATGAACAAATAAGGATCATTGTCAAGTTTTTTTGAAGGTTACCTATTATTTCATTGTTTACGGAACGGATCATTAATAAACAATGAGTATGCATGTAGACCTAAAAATATTCACGGATATACATCTATCTGTTTTTAGCAGTGTTTTTATTTGTCTACTATGAAGCATTTTCCGGACAGACGTAATCGTATGTCAAAAGAAGTCGCTGATTATACTATTTTCAATATATAGAAGATTATTATATTTTTTTAAAAAAATAATAATTATAATTCATCCAAAAAAGAAAAAGAGAAAGTAACTACTGTGCTGTATATAGAATTAAAAATTCTTTAGCATGTGATAATATGAAATAGGAATTTATTTAATTGCGTGCTCTTTGTTGATATCATTTTTATTCGTACATGGTAATTTATACTGTTCCAATATCTGATATACTGTATGTACGCATTCCCTTTAAGGAAAATTAACTGGCACTTTGATTCTCACGGGATTCTTAAAGAATTCCAAAAGGTTCTTGGCGTGATCTGCCTCATGACATACATGAAAGAATCGGCGGGTGCAATGTATGATCCGCGAGGTACACATCACCCACCTCATTGTGGAATGTTCAATAAGAAAAAATTCGTAATGCTTAGAAGTCTTGGGACTTCCAATATACCTGGTAGCACGACCGAAGAATATTCAGCATTCTTGCATGAGAATGAATAAGATCGTCACTTCTCTGAGAAGCTTAATATTTCCAAATCGGACAAAAAAAATTCTTTAGAATAAATATTAAGTTTTCCAAAGATTCAAAAAACCAATCGTATATACAGTAGTACAAACATTTTTTTTAGAAGTTTTCTTTATTCACATTATTTACATCGTTTCTTTTTCTTTTCCATTTTCCTTGTTTCTCCAAGAATTCTCCAATACACATGTAACACATCATCACACATATTATCAAATTTATTTTACCCGCAAACCTACTATATCCAGTCTCGGAAAAATACAAAGATTCCATAAATAAACAAAATAATAAGAACCATTTCGCGATTTTTGATTTTAATGGTGTCTCTTGTTCGTTTTGCGTATCTTCAACAATTTCTGATTCTTGAGGTTGTGAGCACTTTGAGCTTTTGATTTGTGATTCAGGAGATTCCGTCGAAATTTTAGTGGACGGTGAGTAAAATATGAAATTAGTAGCAACTTTTCCATTCTGGTTGGCGCAAAGATGTTGATTATTAGAATAATAGTTATTCTTGCATTCGTATTCGTATTCGTATTCGCATTCGTATTCACATTCGTCATCGCTATCTGTGTCTTCGATTGTCGTCATTTTTCTCGAAAATGGTGTGGCTGTTGTTTTTCGCGAAATTTTCGTGTAGTATTCTTGTTCATCTTCACTATTAATATCTTCAACAGCGTTTTCTAGTGAACTTTCCTTCATATATGATATAGAAATTTCCATATTGATGTCGCTCTTCTTTTCGCCATCTCTTTCGGAAGTGTTGATTTTACGTCTCTTATTGGATTCGATACTTTCATAATAATTATCAAAGCAATTGTCGCTCTCTTTAACGACATAACTGTTATCAATGTGATGCATTTTGTCTGAATAATTTTTTTTATCTGAATTTTTGTCGAATAAAGATGACACAGGTGTTATTGAACTTGCGTTTTCTATTATTTGTAACCCTTTGACGATGGGAATTGATGTGGGGTATAAGAAAGAGAATATTTTCGGATTTGTTGTGTGAACAGTTGGAGGACTAATATTTGCTGAAGAGATATAGTTGATCTTTTCGTCATTTAATAGTAGAGTATTAATAACAGGTGAAGATTTAACTTCGGTAGACAATAGAGATTCAGTTGTGGATAGTGCCTTCTCGCTTTCTTGCGCTGTTTTTTCATCATTTTCTGCATAATGTTCATCGTCACTGTAGTCGTTAAATGGTAAGAAGAATTCTTCTTCCATCTTTTCATCTAAAATAAAATCAACTTCTTTGTCGTTTGAGGTCACGCTAATCTCGTCTTCTTCATAGTCATCTACCACGATGAGTTCAAAATATGGTTCGTCTTCGGATAGGAAGTCGCCAAATTTTTCATACAAGAAGATAAGGGACTTGAGAAGATTGCCGATAAATATTAAAATCAAAGTAAGCGGGTTGAGAATTTTCGTTGTCATGGTTTTGGTGGAGGAAGGAATAATAAATTAAGATGTTTTTTGAAAAATGTACGAAATAAACAGTTCTTAGCAACGAAGTGGAGTAAACCGTTTTGCGTTGCGAACGAGATGTCCTTTGAGGAGGAATGTTGACAATTTATACTTGTTAATAAATAATCGTTACTCTTGCGATAAGAATTTCGCGTAACGTTGAGCACAAAAACTGTTGTGGTGTTAAAAAGGAAGTCGGCGTACGTTGGAAGATGTATTGTAAAAGGAAGGTGGGAAAGTCGTTTTTTTTTTTTCAATGTATTATAGAAGGAATGTTCGTGTATTATTTTTTTCGAAACTTTTGGATGAATAATACGCATCGCTGGCTTATATATTTATACGTTAGGCTATTCTGGATCGGATGTCGAAAGTACGAATGAATGTCGTTTGAGACATCATTTAGAGATCAAATGCATCTTGAACATATGCATATGTATAAAATAAAACTTTCAATGACCCTTTCCCTGCAATGTATTATCATTTTCCCATTTTCGTTTCTAGAAGATCTAATGATATTGGATTTGATTCAGAAAATAATACACAATACATCTTTAAATGCTCAAAAGGAGGCATCAACTAAATAATTGTTGATCTGTAAGGGCGTAGTAATGGAACGCGAAAAAAGTTTTCATTAGTTCACTTATGGATCATGTGATGGACTTATCGAATACTGAAGTAAAGGTTTTTCTTCGAGTGATTTTTACATCAGAATAACAACTGTTGTTTTTCTTTCACTTTGGTATTCAAAGAATACGAATTGTTTTCTGGTCTAAAACATCGTTAGCATAACGTCTAGTTTATTATTATTACCCTATGGTGTCCGTCCCGAAAACATGAACCGAACTCAAAATCGAATACAATTATTTAAATAAATATGCGTTTTAATGTGAATTTAATGTGATTTTGAAAAAAAATAATAAATGTAATATCATGAGAATAATATATTTTATAAATTAAATTCAACGGATTTTTGAGTTTATATTTTATTATTATTAAAAAAAATAAATTCGCTTATGTTTTTAAAATATTTTATAATTTTTTTTTTTTTAAAAAAACAAATTTATTTCTATTTATTGCTAATGCTATTTTAAAGACTCTTGCATAATTGACGAAATTTATTTCATTATGATTTTGGGGTTTTTTTTTCAAATGCAACATAAATAATCTCATAAAACAAATAAAAATACAGTATACGTATACCAAAAATAATTAAGAAAAACAAAAATTAATATTTTTTAGGTAAATTCTTTTTTAAAAAAAAAGTAATCGTTTCATTAAAAATTCTTTTACATATACAGGTGATGCACAAGTGTATTAAGGGATTGACATACGAGAACACTACCCCTGCGATCCAAAATAGCAACCGAAACTCTACTAAAAAAGATATCTGAAAATGTAACATTTATCACGCCTACCCGTACACACATTTAAATGCTCATTTGGGCGAATTGCGTAACGAACACTGTTAGCAGGATTCTGATTTATTTTTTAAGCTTCAATCAAATAGAAATTGCCGATAAATGATTTACTATAATAAATCATGCAGCGGTAATTACATATCGTCCGACTTTAACCCAACCTAAAGATAACATAAAAAAGTATGAGAAACTTCTGAACCAAAAGATTCGTGGATATATAAAGACGATGAAATATACCTTGCGAGAAGTTTCAACCGTTTTCCTGGTCATTCTCATCTTTTCGGTTGGAGTTCAATACTGTATTAGTTCAATATTTTTTAGTCTTTAACAAAAATTTATTATCTTTATAATTGATTAATCAGCTTTCAATATATATTATATCTAATTAACCACAAATAATTTACCGAAATTAATTAAACTATGTAAAGATATGACTTTTGATTTTTTAATAATTGTAAATTAAAAATAAATTAAAGTAGAAAGGGTTGTATGAGACAAGATTTTTGATTTAATTTTTATGAAAAGCCTATAACTTCAATTGAAATTGCAGATTCTATATTATTATTTTTTCTATTCAAATTGATTAACTTTCTAAATAAGTTATACTTAATTGGTTAGTACCTTAAACTAGATTAGCAAACTATAAAATTTAATTAACTTTTACTACTCTATTTGATATTAACACAATCCAGATTGATAATTTAATTTTAAAATTTTTTTGAATTCTAAGTTAAAAAGAAGATCACTGAAAAGATTTTTTAATTGTCAAATAAAATTTGCCTTATTCTATATTTATAAATAAAAGAATATAGTATAATCTATATATATAATATTACTAAAAATATAATTAATTAATTAAAAATTGTATTTAATTGAAAATATTATTACCATATATGGTAAATATCAACAATAGGGTTCTAAAAAAGTACTGAACTGGTATTGAACTGGTATCGAAATGGTACCGATCTATAGTAAATTTAATATATGGGTTGTGACC